GCACCTAACAAAAACTATAACCACTAGTTAAAGAATGAGAGAAATTAAATCTGACAAGTGATTTTCAGGAATAGGGCACATGATTTGGCTGTGACATCAGATTAATTTTTTGCCAGAAACTATCTGTAAAACAAATTACAGCAGTAGATAAAACAATCTACTAATTTTCAGTATTTGATTTTAATATTATATCATTAAATATGTGTTTCTGTTGCAAAATAATTTTTCTGAAGGCAGTGTGCTGAGATGGATGGAGCTAGCAACTTGGATTCAGAATAGTTGGCTGTAAGTCCTCATTACACTTACTACCTGTGTAATTTAGACAAAACTCATATTTCTGTCTTTATCTTGATTTTCTCTTCTGTACAATGAGAAGAATGATTGTTATTTCACGTGGATTGTTGGAAAAGTTAAATGAACTCCTACACACATGCATACACATGCATACAGACTTGTATAAATCATAATACACTCTATAAATATAAACTTTTGCTATTGTCCTATGCTATCCTGATTTTTTAAAAATATTATTAAATTTACAACTTGTGATTATAATTTTCTAATAGCATTGTGAAATCAGTGTTTGGCAACTTTCCCAAAATATAAATCCAGGGTCATTGAGCAATCTAGTGTAGTTTTGACTTTTTAGCTCAGAAATTCTGGTTGAGATTTGGACTTAATGTGTGAGGAGGAAACTAAGTAGAGATATGGAGATTAAATCTAAAAACATTTCAGAGGGGCAATAAAAGACAAGGAGCTCTGGTAGCATAGTGGCTAAGGCACTTGACTGCTAACCAGAAGGCTGGCGGTTCAAACCCACCAGCCACTCCTCGGAAGGAAGGTTGGGCAATCCTACTTCCGTAGTGATACTGCCTCGGAAACCCAAGGAGGGGTTGCTATGAGTCAGGGCTGACTTGACGGCACATAACAACAACAACAACAACAAGAATAGTTGAGACTTGCCAATAAATTATGTACAAATAATTAAAATTTCTTCCAAATCCTGCCTCCTGCATGAAGATGTGTGTCACAGTAGACCTGCACAGAGAGGGTCTCACCACTAACTTACTGGGCTGAGTTACCCTACAGATGAGTCATCAGTAGATGCACAATATCCACCTCTCTAGACCATGGAAAGCTCTACAGGTCTACAGGAGCTCTGGTAGCATAGTGCCTAAGGCACTTGACTGCTAACCAGCAGGCTGGTGGTTCAAACCCACCAGCCACTCCTCGGAAGGAAGGTTGGGCAATCTACTTCCATAGTAATACTGCCTCGGCAATCCAAGGAAGGGTCACTATGAGTCTCGTCCAACTCTACGGCACACAACAACAACAGACCATGGACATCTTCTTTTCTCTTCGTATTTTCATCCTACCTTTACATGTGTCTTAGTATACCCTCCTTGGAAAGTGAAGAGTCATGTATTGTTAATTCCATTTTATAATAAGGAGATTAAAATATTGTCACAAAATTTAATTTGCATATGACCAAAAAGCTACTAATTGGAAGAGGTAGGAAGACTCTTTACTTTCATCCTTGTTGCTCTTTACCCTCATACACTGGAAGTTTATTTTTCTGTTTCTTTTTATTTGCTCCTCTTCATATTTCCACTGAAATTCCTTTTTGTTTTCCCCTTGTTTCTATCTAAGATGTCTGCTCTCCTGTGGATCTGCTCTGCCCTATATTTGCATCCAGGATTAAAGGACTCTCTGCCTAGAATTACAGGTTTTTACAAACTAAATACACCATAAACTGTCAGAAGAGTGAACAAACCTGTCTTGGAAGAAGTACAGCCAAAATATTCCTTGGAAACAAGGATGGCAAGATTTCATTTCACATACTTTGGCCATGTTATCAGGAGGAACCAGTCCCTGGAGAAGGATATCATGCTTGGTAAAGTAGAGGGTAAGTGAAAAAGAGAGAGACCCTTAATGGGATGGATTGACACAGTGACTGCAACAAACAGCTCAGGTATAACAATGATTATGAGGATAGAACAGGTTTGGCATATTTCATTCTATTGTACATGGGGTCATTTTGAGCTGGAATAGACTTGATGGCACCCAACAAAAACAATAACTGTCCAGAACTGGCTACTGCAGAGTCCACTCTGTTATATTCACAACATGTCCCAAAACACACACAAATCTCATAGACCTACTTCACAGCAGTTAAAGAGGTTAAAAGGCCAGTTTAGTGACTCAGACCAGACTCATACCTGTTATTCTCCAAGTCATAACTCTTGGCCTATGAATTGGGAACCTTCTCTAGGAGAAAATTTAACATTTGTTTGCAGTTCAGCAGCCAAGAGCTTCTTCCTCAAAAATTACTGATACATCAGGAGGGGATACTTTATTTTGCACTTCCTTAATTTGTTATTCCTACCAGAATGAATTTCGACTTTGAAATCTTTTTTCTGATTGATCCCTTTCCAAAGAAGTGTTCAAGCATTTGCCTTCAATCTCCCTAGTTCTGTCTTCCATTGATTCAATGCTGGTCCTTTGTCCATTCAATGTCTTATCTATTTCTGAAAATTTAGTATTGATCTTCTGGATTTCCATGTGTAGATTTTGTATCATTTCTAATTTTTCATTTATTTTGTCATTTTGTTCTTGTATTGTCTTTCAAAATTGTTCTAGGGTTTTCTCTGTGTTTTCCTTAATCTGTCTCTCAATTCATTGAAGATACCTAAATATAATTGTTTTGAATTCTGTATCAGGGAGTTTCAATGCTGCATCTTCCTCAGGGATGTGTTTTGGGTCTGTATCTTGATCCCTTGTTTCTTCTGCTTTATCTTGTTTCTTTGTGTGGACTGTGATGCTCTGTTGTCTCTGAGGCATTATAACATTTTTGTGTTTTTATTTAATTGGTGATTGTATGTTGAAGTGACTTGCCCATGATTTTCATTTTGTTTTGTTTATATGTTATCTATTCAAGCAGGGTACTGTGCTCCTCTATCACTAGTTGACAGCACTTATACAACTTATACACTCACCACCTGTCATCTCCTTTCCTGTAGTCACTTTCTCATATGTCCCTGCCGACCTTGGCAAACAGAGCCTATTCTTAGGTCCCTGGAATCCAAATGAGAATGCTATCCCTTTAAAACCCAAAATGGTTGCAACTTGTGAAGATTCAAAATGGCTGCACCCTCAGTCACTTTAAATATCTAAAATGGCTGCCATGTGTAAACAATAAAAATAGCTGCACCCTCCGGATAGCAGAAAGTCAATAGCTCAGGTTGTCTCTGTCCTTGCTGTTTCCCTTCCTAGTCATAGGCCACAAGCGCACTCATCCCTGCAGCCCGTGGTGACCAGGGCTGATCTTTAAGTCAATTCTCAGGTCCCAACACCACTTGGAAATATTCGGGCTATTGGTCCCATCAGAGTAGCTGACAGTCCAGAGCTCCAACCACCTCTGTATTCACTGCTTTTGTTCAGGTTTTTCCACTAGTTGGTGCCTAATACACTTCTGTATAGTTCCTTTCAAAACTCAGGGCTCCAGGATTATCTTCTATATCTCTGTCAATTGGTTTTTCTTTTCTTTTTTGAAGATGGTCTGTGTCTACCTATTCTTCCATCTTACCGGAAGTCCAATTATTGAATATCTTATCAAAGATTGTATACAAGAGTCTTGTTGTTGTTATGTGCCGTCGAGTCGGCCCTGACTCATAGCGACCCCTCCTTGGGTTTCCGAGGCAGTATCACTACGGAAGTAGGATTGCCCAACCTTCCTTCCGAGGAGTGGCTGGTGGGTTTGAACCACCAGCCGTCTGGTTAGCAGGCAAGTGTCTTAGAGAGTTTTAAATTATCATGGAGTCCAGAGTTTCTCAAGCCACAGAGGCTGGTTGAATCTCCAGAATTATTGCTCTAAGATAATCTTTAAACCTTAAACCAAAAATATTCCCTGAAATCGCAAAGCAAAAAAGTTTAGCTTAATTACTAAAGGATGTCTGTCTTGAGCGTTGTGCTGTTTTAAGTTCTATCTATATGGGATCAAATTTACAACCACAACTTGAAAGAATAGATAGAAACTTTAGGGGAGAGTGAGTTCATGTAATGTGAGAGGACCAGCTCAGAAAAGGAGGGTGAGAATCGTTTCACAACTCGAAGAATGTAATCAATTGTACTTGGAGAAATTGCTGAATTGCAATTTGCTAAATTCTTGAATTGTGTATATTCTTAACAACAACAAGTTTAAAAATATAAAGAGGAAAAAAAAAAAGTAGCTGAAGACTAGTTAGAGGGCTGGAGAACCAGTGACTATGCAATCAGGACTCCCAGACCGTATTATGCAACAGAATTAATAAGTATTGGATAACCCTGTCATTCAGCTGATGCTGCTGACTTCTTTACATTTGGCACTGAACAACCTTGAACCAGCAGCTAGAACCACTGCCATAGCTTCCTAAGGACCTCAATATTATTTCAACTCATTCCATCACCAAAGATAATTTTCCATCTCCTTACATCTATGTATTACAAACTCTCAATTTGAAGTTCTGGGGGGGTACATCTGAAAGGCAGAGTCAGCCACAGCTACACATAGTTACAGAGGAATCTGGAAAAGAGCTTATTGGAGAATTAAATTGCTATAGTAGGATTGGAGCACTATTTCCAACATGACTTACAGTGTAGGAATCTTCTAGGCATGAAGGATTCTTATAATATACTCTGCAGATAAAAAGATATACTGGACAGATAATAAGAATGATAAAGAGAAATACTTATCTATACAGGGATACTTTCAAAAATTACTAATGGATATTTAAATTCATACAAACTTACTAGAGAACAATTTGACAATGTATCACAAACAACATGAAAATTTTGAAGATAGCTATATCAATATATAAAATACTATCCAAAACAAGTAAGTATATCTAGTGGACCTTGTGATGGGTCTCCCAGATTCCCATTAAGGACGTAAAGATGTAGTTCTCCAGTTGCTGGCAGTGTTGCCAGCAGACAGCAGTCATCCCTCTTTGGAAAACACTTACACTGAATAAAGTCATCCTGCCTAAATTCACATTCCTTTTCCAGAGCCTGTATCCGATGACTAGTTGGCATGAGGGAATAAAGGCCCATCCTTATTTGCACTAACTTGGCCCCATTCTAAAGAATCATTCCAACTTCAGAACCACAGTAGTGTAAGCTAAGGCCTTCACGGAGTTGGCATCACAGCCAAATTTCCCTCTCTGCCCGGTCCTACTTCCTTTTATTCCATTACACTAGTGCTGTTCCTGAAAGTTCACTAATAATCTCTATAGTAAACTTAATGCATGCTAAAATTTTCAGAGTCCGCTCCCTGGGGAATATAAATGGAAACCAAGACAATTGCTCATAAATGATATGTACATAACTGCCTATCATTTCATTAGTTTATAAGTAACATTTTTGAGAAGAAAAGGCTTAGATGCAAAATAATAAGATATTAAGTATAATCATGAAGTAGATCATTATACAGCCATTAAGATTATTTTGTTAATTTCATCATGTTTATAAGTAAAATTTAGAATAATAAAATAGCAAGAACTAAAACTAAATTCACTGCCATTGAGTTGATTCTGACTCATAACGACCCCCACTGAATTTCCAAGGCTGTAAATCTTTACTGAAGTAGATTGCCTCATCTTTCTTTTGTGGAGTGGCTGGTGGATTTGAACCACCAACCGTTTGGTTAGCAGCCAAATGTCTTAACCATGATAAATTAATACGTAAATTATATAACAGAGAAAGAGATGACAATAAGCACAAGAAATTTATATTACTGAAAGTTAACATTAATTATACTTGGAGAGTGCTGTTAGTGAATATTTGTATTATCTTTGTGCTATCTCTTATTTTCCAAATCTCTCACATTAGGATACATAATTTGTTACAGGAGAAAATGAAAATACTGTATAAATATAATGTATACTTGTCAAGATTTGAAAATAATATTAATTTTTAAAAATTGTTTAAGATGCTTTTTCAGTGAGGTGAGAGCAACATGAATGATTGTTGTTGTTGTTGTTGTTATGTGCCATCGAGTCGGCCCCGACTCATAGCGACCCCTCCTTGGGTTGCTGAGGCAGTATCACTATGGAAGTAGATTGCCCAACCTTCCTTCCGAGGAGTGGCTGGTGGGTTTGAACCACCAGCCTTCTGGTTAGCAGTCAAGTGCTTAGGCACTATGCTACCAGATCTCCTACATGAATGATTAGCCATATAATATTAAAATGATAGATGATACATCCTAAAAATTATGGAATTCAATGCTAGGCATGAGGGAGAGTTAATTTTTTTTTTAAACATTTTTATTGTGATTTGGGTGAAAATTTAAGAAGCAGATTCATTTTATACTCGACAGTTTTTACACATTTTGTTTCACACCACTGATTATAATACCAGCAATAAACAGCTCTATTCCCGTCTCCTCCCTGTGACTACCCTTTCCTTGTGTCCCTCTTACCTATGCATCCCTGTCTGTTCAGATTTCCCCCTATGCAAATGCTGCCCTTCTCATCTCTTAAGGTTGACCGTTCTATGGTGTATCTCCCTGGGGTAGGTGTTCTGCTTGTATGTATTTCTATTATTTGGCTGAGAGCTTATCCCTGGAAGTGAGCCCAAGACTGAAGGATACAACAGAGCCATCGTCTCCAGGGTTTCACCAGTCTCTATTTGACCAGCAATTCTGGTTATTTTTGTGTTTTGGAATTTTATTCCATATTTTTCCACCCACTTTATCCAGGATCTCCAATTTTGATCCCTTTCTGAGTGGTTAGTATTAGTAGATGGGCACCATCTTCAATCACCTCCTGAGACTTGTGGTCTCAGGGTCATGAAGGCTGAGGTTCTCGTGATCCATTAATCCCTTGGACTAATTGTTTCCATATGTCTTTGATTTTCTTCACTCTTCTTTGCTCCAGTTGAGGAGAGATCAATAGCCACATCTTAGATGTCTTTTCAAGACCTTTTAAGATCCTGATCGCTACTCACCAAAGTAGGATGTAGAACAATATTTTTATGTACTATGTTGTTCCAATTGAGCTTGATGGCCCTTGAGACCATGGACCCGGGCCCACAGGCCCAGTGACTCATTCCCTCCAGGTGCTTGGTTGTGGCTAAGAAGCTACCCCAACCTTTTCCTCTCTTAGTTCTAGAATGTATATGGATAATTTTGTAGAAAAATATGCAGATAGGAATATTATCAGCCACGTCTATCTGTAGTCATAGGTATGTATCACCTACACATACCTAATCTTCTTGCCTGTCTGCCTATGTATCTGCCCGTAGACTAGTGTTTGTTGTTACTGATAATGCAATATTTTATATGTAATAGTATTTGCTTCTGTTGTCCATACCTTTTGTGCACCTCTCTGTGTCCTCTTTTTCCCTATTGTTATTGTGCTGGTCACACACTTTTGTTATATTGCCTTTCCCTTCACCCAAATCAATACATGACTCTTAAGAGTCAGGAATTTACCATCCCCTTCCCTTCCATCCCTGGTAACCAACAAAGTAAATTTCCTTTCCTGTGTAAACCTTGCTTTGACTTTTTATAACAATTGATTCATACAATATTTGTCCTTCTATGATTAACTTATTTCACTCAGCATAATGTCCTCTAAGTTCATCCACTTTATGAGGTGATTCATGGGTTCTTCGTTATTCTTTAATGTTGCACAATACTCGATGTGTGTATATACCAAAGTTTGGTTATCCATTTATGTGTTAATGGGGACTTAGGTTATTTCCATCTCTTTGCTATAGTGCATAATGCTGCAATGAACATGGATGTGCATATATATCTATTTGTGTCCTGGATCTTACCCCTTTAGGGTAAATTCGTAGTAGTGGATTTGCTGGATCAAATAGTATTTCTATTTCCAACTTTTAAGGAAGCACAATACCATGTTCTGCAGTAGTTGTACCATTTTATAGTCCCATCAGTAGTGTATGAGAAGTCCAATCTCTCCACACCCTTGCCAGCATTTGTTATGTTTTGTCTTGTTGAACTTTGCTGGTATAGCTGGGAAGAGATGATATCTCACTGTTTTTTGATTTGCTTTTCTCTCATGGCTAATGATTGTGAACATTTCTTCTTGTGTTTGTCGGCTGCCTGTATAACTTTTTTGGGAAATGTCTCTTCATATCCTTTTGCCCATTTTTAAATTGGACTGTTTGTCTTTTTGATGTCGAGGTGTTGCAGTTTTCTAAATTTTAGAGGTAAATCCCTTGCCAGATATGTCAATGCCAAATATTTTTTCCCAATCATTTTTTTTTTAGTCTTTTGGAGAAGCCTTTTGATGCACATAAGAATTTAATTTTTAGAAGGTCCCAGCCATCTATTTTCTCTTCTGCTGTTTATGGATTTTGGCTTACTCTTGAAAGTTTATTTATGCCATAAATTAGGGCCCCTATGTTTGCCCCTATTTAGTCTTTGATAAACTTTATAGTTTTGGATTTTACAATTAGGTCTTTGATCCATCTTGAGTTCATTTTGTGTTTGGGGTGAGGTATGGATCTTATTTCATTTTTCTGCAAATGAATATCCAATTTTCCCAGCACCATTTGTTAAAGAAGCTATCTCTCCCCCATTTAAGGGGTTTCAGCCCTTTGTCAAAGATTAGCTCTCTATAGATGGATAGATCTATTTCTGGATTCTCAATTCTGTTCCAATTCTCTGTTTATCTATCATTGTACCAGTACCAGGCTGTTTATTCCATATTATTTTCTGTGCTGAGCTAGTTTTGTTTATGAATTGTGTTATCATTCCCGTTGTTGCTGTTGTTTTAGTATATGCTGAATATTT